AAAGTCATGTAAGTGGACATACTCGATTTTTCATTAAAATCATTGGTAACCATATATAAATTGTCTTCACTCTACAACTCTTCCATTCTATATAATCGGAGGGATGGGCCGTTCATATGGGCCAATTTTCAGCAGAAAAGTAGGAAATCCAAGTTTTGTATTTCTTTAAGTAAGTAGTTTTTTTTTTAATAGTAAGCGATAAGTAAAGAAATATTTAATTTAAGTAGTTAAAAATTGCTTTACTGTAAACTAGATACAATTTACATCAAATGAAAATAGAGTTTGTCATTGTTAAAACTATTTAAAGAGCACTTTTGAGCTGCTAAACTAAGCTTAGTTCTGTCTTTAAAAAAATTACAAATAATTCGCAGTTTTTTTCATCAACCAACTATACTACAGATACTCCACTTTAAGAAAAACTTCTTCGTTTCATAAGCTGTAAGTCTTTATTGATTAAGTTGAGGTTTATAAGGGAAACATTTAAGATTCACCTCAAGTTGGTTAAAAAAATGATGTGATTTTTATCCCGTCATGTAAAAGTACCCCTATTAAAATGATTACAATTATCTGTTGCAAAGCTTTTATTTCTTGTTTTACATGATCTGGGATGTATTATAACAAACCTAATTTTTTTTCTAAAAAGAAGAAATAATGATTATTTAAGTTTTTTTTTGGATTTTTTACTTTTCTGCTGAAAACTGACCCATTGTTTATGGGTCATATATATATATATATATATATATATATATATATATATATATATATATATATATATATACTTTTACTTTTTACTACGTACTATGGGCCTTGGCTTCCCTCACAACATTGTACCAGTCCTCTCTGCACAACGCTCTCCTCCTCCAGTTCCTTATACCGAGATTTTCCAGATCCCTTTCCTCATTCTGAATCCAACGTCTCCGAGGTCGTCCATCTTTCCAAGCAGAATTATTTTTGCATTCTCGATTTATTCATCCGTGCTACTTGACCCAACCATTCAATTCTCCTTGCTCGTATGAAGCGGACACAAGATCCATATAGCTCATATGTTATATATAACCAATGTTTTTATATAATTATTGATGTATTTATTAATAGTTGTAAGTCTGTTATGTGATGATTATAAGCCTCTTAATGACCATACAATTGTGGATATAGAGTGGTGGTAATTTGCATTAGCAGTATCCCAGTCAAATTGCATTCCTAAAACAATACCGATATTATTGGAAGGAAATATTTAGCATAAACCTAAAAAGTCAGAAATTTCAACGGGTTTTTTAGCACTTCACGGCTATAGGATTTTTTGTATTGACTACACACCTAACAATATAAAAAACAAATCAGAATTACCCGATGTTATGCATCGGTATGCTACACCCCCTTTTTTGTGCTAAATTGACTGGGATACAGATTTTTGGTACATTGTCCAATAATAATGGTATTGTTTTAGGAAACGAATACATTTACTTATTCTAACCAGTCAGTGTCCATCTTAGCCTTATATGTCTTCATTCTTTCATTATTATTTTAGCTCTTTGTGTGTATTTTATTAAGAAATGACCGTCATTCTAAACTGTGTAGCGTTGATTTGGAAACAAAAAATTCTTTTTTCCTACATCTTCAAAATAGATTCACATATTTCTCTTGAAAAATTGTTTCATAATAATCTAAATTAGTATTTGGAAAAATTAGCAGGTTTTCATTTATTGGCCCTTTAATTCGAAATTGAACTACAAGACGAAGGAAAAGATAAAACAACACATTGGTTATTATATATTCATCTTACTTGAAGGACCAGGTATATGCATTATAGATACATTCGAATACTGGGGCTGCAAGAGGGTTCACCGTCCAGAAGAGGGGACTTGTAAAGAACGAAAATAGGTAGGACTAGAATTGCATGCGTAACTGTATATAGGAATGAGAGGAAGAAGATGACTAATTTATATATATATATATATATATATATATATATATATATATATATACAATAAAAAAGAAGTAAAAGATTAAATGGTAAGTTGTATGAAATACTGTACGAGATAAGAAAATTTCAGAGCACAAAAGTATAACACTTATATTAAATTACATTTAAGAAAAATATTTAATAATATGAACTGTATTTCTGTAGTTATGATAATAATAAAATTTGAAACACAATTATGAGTAGTATATGCAATAAACAGGATTATTGATAAATTGTCGAAATAATATTACAAATTTATAAATATTTACATTTCATTGCATTAAACGATGGAGACATCAACAGTTTATTGCAAAAAGTCATTAAGTACATTTTCGATGGGGCTTAAGCTTTTAAATATTTTGGGGGTAATTTGACCTAATTTATTGATCTCGTTTGAGGATTCCAAGTGTGACGTTTGTCCAGGTGCTTGGTTGGTTCATCCCGAGCCCTAGGTATCGGGTTTGTTAATAGGGATAAGTGGGGTGTTATTAAAGGATACTGTAGGATAGGAAGTTATAGGTTTACGACGAAGGGTAAAGATGATTTGATGGGATTTATTTAATTTATTTTAATCCTACAGTTTTAACACCATTCTTCAAGATTTGTGATGTGTGAAGAGTTTGGGATGCTATTGATGGAATGTTTATATTAAATCTTGAAATTATATATTAATGGTCTTAAATTTCATAATGGCTCTATTAACTTGGACTTTTATAATGATTGGGACCAATATAGGGATTTAATAGTTTGATAGATTATATATTCTAAAGTTTATATTATATATTATATTTACATTATATATTGTTTATATTTGTATTATATATCATATAGTTTCTTGGTCATTTATTCAATAATTTCTACCAATATCCAGGTGTATCATTTTAACTAAGAGCCACTGTATACATATGTGAGTTTACATCTGGGAAGTTATTATTATTGTATAGCACTATCGAAGAGTTTTATAAATATGTATCTTTATCAATTTGAGATTAAGTAAATAATTTGAATGTCAATAAATATTTCATTCATAAGAGGTTTTTTAACACTAATTTGGTATAAATTTGTATAGGAAGAAAAATATAGTGACATTGTTCACATATAATAAAATACATAATAAGAACTTTATTAACATTTCACAGTTACTAATTTAATCTTCCTCGGCATTTCATTCCATCAATCATCGTATAAAGCTTTCATTTGACATAAAGTAACGAAGGCCGAAATCGCTCCTACAAGAAACTGAAACAAAACATATAAACGTGTGTGTTGTAATAATCTGAAAAGTTAATTTGTATAATCAAATTTACATAATGTTATTTATATAATAATTATAATGAATATCGTTGGTATATTGCAAAAAATCATTAGATCATAATCTTAAATCACTAAGAACTTTGAAGATTAAGTGAAGCTACTAGAATTTACTGTGGTTTTCATCGATAAATAGCATCGACTTGCAATAAACCAACTATATAGCAGTTAATATTATTTATATTGTTTTATGATATAAAAACTCCAAATAATAATAACTAGTAAATACATATAACGATTAGTACAATTTGTAATTTATTTCTTAACTGCGTTTATTTTGTTCCAATGATACTTCATCTAATAATAAATCGATGCCGAAATTCTTTAAATGAAGAATCCTGCCCTCTACTGACGCAATAACAAAAAAATAAAAAGAAGAAAAAAAACTTTTGGTAACCAAACAGTTTTAATTTATGGTGCAACTTACAAGGATTCGAGTAAGTAAAGAGAAATATTTAAAAAAGTGATAAACAGATCTCAACAGCTATATAAAAGTTTATATAAATGATGGCTTCATTTTAAAATTAGGAAATTTAAGATCTTTGTTTTTTTAAGTGTCGCGCTTTTCGTTGAACAGGAAACGATAACTAAAAAATATTTAATTTAGATAATTAAAAATTTCTTCATTATAAGCTATGCAATATTTACTTCACAAGTAAGTAGAATTTGTTTTTTTTTTTTACTATTTAAAGTGGACTTTTAAGTGGCTAAATTTCGCTAAGTTCTGTTTTTCATAAAATCGTGGATTATTCGCGATATTTTCTTCTCTCTTATTCTATTAAGAAACATTGGTTAGCCACTTAATAGAATAAGGATACATCCCTATAACAGAGATTAGTGTAAAACATATAAGTTCATTATTACTTTAGATATCGAAAACACATTTTTTTTAAAATCAGAATTTCTCAACATTTTTTTTTTTAATAAATAAAAAGAGGATTTTTGTTCTGAACTTATTTTAATACATACGAGGTAATCGAAAAAAATAAAATAAAGCTTTGCAATAGTTTGTGTCAGCTATTGTTGCTAAAACCTGAAGTACTTTTGGGTCACAGAATATCAAATCACATAATATTTTTATAAAATAATAAAAGCTGAATGTCAACTTCTGTAGCAGAGCTAAACTTAAATGATATGGACTCTGAACTTATTAAACATGAATGTTTTTTCAAAAGTAGAGTACCCGTAGTTCAGGAGTTATATAAAAAAAAATCACGATTAATCAACGATTTTATGAAAAACACAACTTTACGTATTTAACTAAGATGAGGCATACTATACTTTCTATTGAAGTAAATTTTGTCTCGTTCACTCTGAAGAATTTTTTCTATTATTTGAAGAAATTGTTTATTACCTAAATTAAATATCTGTTTAATTATAACTTCTTATTCAACAAAAAAAAATGATTTATTTTTAAAAAATACTTAATATTTCTTCTTTTATGCGGAAAATCGGACGATGGTTTTTATGATTTTTTTGTAGTTCTTGAGGCCTTCTAAAAATATATTTCTGTATATTTCTTTAAAAGAGATTACATTCCGAAACCTATTTCAAGGACTTCCTTAAAATCGACAGCGACAGAAACTACCTATCTAATAATAATAATTATATATATATATATATATATATATATATATATATATATATATATATATATATATAAAAACTTACTTTTGCAAAGCTTTCCCTGTTGAGGAGGAAGGTAGGTGCCCTGTAAGCTGTGACTTCAATTGGTCTCGTGGATATTGTCACTGCCAGACGGATCATGTTTGCATTGTTCTTCGTCATATCGTACCACGGAGTGCTGTACGCTACGAACGCCAACTTTTGTGCCTTTTGATCAGTGGAAATAATAAACAATTATTTTTTTAAAAATTGTACTTGAATAGAATAGAATATAAAAGAAAAATAATTTTGCTCTGGGAAAAAATCCCTTTAGAATAACAAAAAAGTACAAAATTAAAGTATTATATCTGGCCTAAGTAAAAACAAATATAAAAAGTAAAAATAAAGAAAAAAAAAAGTAAAGAAAATTTAAACATACTATGTACAAAATCATACTATGTGTAAAAAAAAATCTATATACAAAACACTTGAAACCATGCCAAGATACTTAAAACTATGTACAGTGGTAAAACGTAAAAAGAAGACCAATCTGATAGTAAGTATTTGAGTGATGAATTATATGTAAATATGTCATTATATGAATCATTTTGAATAATATGTAAATTTAAATAAGTTCATAAAAAGTTAGCGGGGTGTGTCTGACTGTTTTTGGGAGAGAAATTGGAATAGGATGGTTTTAAATGTAGATAAGGAGGGAGAATGCCGAATTTTGACAGGAAGAGAATTCCAGAAATATAATAGAGCGAATAATAAATAGGTGATAACTTCATTTCATTATTCCTGAAAATTTAACATTAAAAACAACCAAAACTGCGGAGAACATCCGAACGAAAGATTTTGTGTTGTCTCTCAATTTACCAGCTGGAATCTTATTTTGATGTTTTTCGCGGGGAGAGGGAGAACACTTTCGGGCTGAAGACCTCCCAAAATAGAAAAATCTTTTTTGTTTTCATTGGTCCGGATTTGTTTCTGTAAATGATATGCGTTAAAAACTTAAACAATTACAATATGTACTGTTAAAATGATGACACGTGGAAAAAAAATTTACCAACAATTTATTCCTAAACAAATAATTATTCCTGCAATTACAGTTTATTTATTTTTTTATCAGACCTCCAAGAACAACTTTAACATAATTGTATATCGTTTCTTTCTTTTCTTCCTGAATCTTCACATTATTTAATAATATTTGCATATTATACTTTTCTCACATGCAACAAATCGATTGGTCAAGATGTAGGTTGAGCATGAATATTTTTTTTGTATTGAATATGTAACATTCTATTTCCGTTCTCTTCCCTTATATATTTCTCTTATTCTTCTCATATTTTCCCTCTCTCGTCCTAACCTAATTCATACTTACCTGATGACAAATTATATACAATAACAAAAGAGAAAAAAAGAAAAAGTGATGTGTAACAGTCCGCCTGTATGTGATATTAGCCAACTTCACCTGTTTAACAGAAAACTTGAAATAAGAAATGAAAAAAAAATGAAATAAGAGAAAATAAAAAACGCTGCAAATTATTTCACAATGGTTTATCATTTCCAAACAACTATACATCTAAAGTAATATTACCTTCCTGGTTACAAAGAAAAATAAATAAAAGGCGATTCCAATTATTGGACTAAACTTTTTTTTTAAATCATTAGTAATATGCTAACAAAAATAGCATTACTTCAGTAACATATTCAAAATTTAAAAACCAAACAAAGGATATAACATTTGGAGTAAAACATATTTTTTGAAAAAATAGAGACCATGTCTTTGCTCCTAATTGTCCGATTTTAACTATTTTTTTTTGTTTTTTAGGAAATTCAAATATACAATATCGACAAAAAAGTGTATACTTTTTGAGTTATTCGGAATTAAATTTTAGCATCCCTCGTAATTTTTTTCCCAGCTTCTTTTCGTTGAAGTATGTTATATAGATCAAATTAAAGGGTGTGAAGAAAATGACTTTAGCGAAGTTTCATTGAAATAGGTACATTCCTTTAGGACCTACAGTCTACAGCAACGCAGGTTTTTCTTCCTCCATTTTGAAAGTAAAAGGCGGATAGTAATGTCGATGACGGAGGATCATCCTCGGGTGACCTCTGATTTTATATCCAAATTTGAAAAAAACGGTCCTACAGTTTCAGATAAAATGCGCGGACGGCGGACGGCGGACGGACAAAAAAAAATTTATTCAATTTCAAATTCTACGCATCCTGAAACGTGAAACCTCAAATTTTGAGAGGGGGTTAAGTTTTAGAATTTTTCGGTCGATCATAATGGTTGATTATTGAAAATAATAAACCAAAAAACAAAACAGGAAATTTAGTTTTGTCATGTGACGATATGAAGAGACGGCGCTACAAAATGTATATATGCCACGCGGGTAGGGTATTTCTTCATTACTACGGCGCACGCTAGGTCAAGTTAAGAAAACCTTGTGACGTCCGCAAAAATAATATGTTTTTTTAATTAAAACAATTTATTTTTGTCGAATTTATTTGTTCGATACATTTTGAAGTTTGTGAGAATATTTTCAATTGGCAGAACATAAACTTTTCACTTTTTTTATTCAATAATTTAATTGAAAACATAACTGAATTTTCGCGTATTTTGTGTAAAATTTCTTGGTTTGGGCTGGTGGTTGATAATTTTTTCTTGAATCTTTATCAACTTTTTACTGTCATTCTGCTTATCTAGAAATAAATTTAAGAATTTCTAATGTATTAAATTTTAAGTTTTACATGTTTTTTTACTTTCAACAAAATATACACGTATTTTTAAAAATACTGCCATTTAAAAATAATGTTCCGTGGTTGCCAAAAAATGTATCTTTTATTTAATTTTTAGAATTTATTGTCCAAGAGAAATTCTTTATAATTATAGCAGGCAGTAAATGATATTTACAATTATTTTTTTGTCCGAACTATTTCTTGGTATGGTACCTTTATTTTTTTATTTGTTCCAATAATATACTGTCTGACAACAATAAAATATAGTATTTCGTACCCCAAACCCTTATTCTTTTTAAATGTCATAATTATTTCTTAAAAAATTGAATATCAGAAAATCTCCGAAAAATCTTTTTGACTTGAACTGTATCAGTGTTTATATATTATTTTTAATTGCGGGATCGACGGAATTTGACGCATTATAATTTGATACATGTTTTGCACACGCGTTAGCCCGCTCGGCCATCCCGCTCCCTAAGTAATCAAATCCATGTGACCGTCATTTTACTCACTATTGTTAATCTGATTTTTATGAAATTTTTAGTGATTGTGCTGATTGGTATCTAGATGGTCCCATATTAATTTCATAAAATCATATCCTCTACTTCCGCTTAGGCACGAATATATTTTCATAGACGGACCCAAAAAAAAAAAACAACAAAAAAAAACTGCTCGTTTAATTCGTTTGTGAAAAATTGATGCTGAATCAATTTGATCAAATTTCATCCGCTTTCTTCTCTGACAGATGTACAAACGTATGTTTCTTGATTTATCTCGAAAATAATGCGTTCGATCTGGTCCAAATTTGGAGGGAAATTAGTGATGGGTAAAAATATGATCAACGTTTTTTTCTTGATATGCCCATATTTTAAAAATCGACGCGTAGTTTAATAATGTGAAGTTTAACTGTGTTTTTCAAAAGGCCTATTATCGATTTCGTTAAATTCCATTTAACAATTAAAATGAATGTATGCAATTGTCAAAAATGTAATGCCAGTGAAATGTAGTAAGCAGTGAGCAAATGGAAATGAGGTATAGGTATAGTTTAATATATAATGTAGGACAAAGACTGCTCTTAATTCGATATGGTAAAATTGTCATGGATTGTGTGTGTGTTGATAATTAAACGGTTCTATTCGCACAATGCCGACCGATTCTATTTAATTAGGCTTACTTCATTCACTTGATTTTAAAAAAACGAATCATTGACCTTGAAATATAGGTAATGATGAAACCAATATAAGTGATGAGGAAGCTATAATGATATTACGTAGCTACCATATGTTTTTCAGTCTGTTTTTCGAAGGCGAAAGGTATGTGTGTGTGGATGTATGTTTTCTATTTCATTAATGACTACTTCTATTCAAAAATCTTTAACACAACTAAAGTTGATTACAAAATATTGAATATTCCGGAGGCCAACATCCAGAAGACCCTACCAAGATTAAAAACATCTTTTCCGCTAGGTTTGCTAATAAAATATTTTCCATTTTTTAATTTTGACCTTTATTTTTAATTTCTATTCACACTTAAGTGTATGCCTTAAGGTCAGAATAATAATAATCAAAATTAGTTTTTGGTAGTTATTTATTAAATGTTTCGGGAAATCTATGTTCCACTCTTCAAAATACATTGTGTGTTATGATTTTAGTTATTAATGACTGGTTTCTAAATTAAACCTATAATATATAGGTTGTATTTTTTAGATTACTGAAGAGCGGAACACAGATTCCCCGAAAAGTTCAATAAATAATAATAAAAAACTATTCTTGGTTATTATTAAACTGGCCTCAATGCATACACTTACGTATAAATAGAGAATAAAATATTTTGACTAGTTATTATTGTCAATAATAAAAGTCGACAAGCATACACGAAGAAAATATAATAACAAAATTTTATTTTAAAAAAGTTCATTTATTTTCCTTTTTTTCTATACCAGATCCATTTTTCTGTTAACTTACCTCTGCAGTCAGTTCATCAGCGGTATTCGACAACAGAAAATAGTATACCAATGTGATCATGATGTATCCGCCGATACTGATAGACTGAATGACGAGTTCGTTTTCTTTCTGAAATACAAATAATTAATCGAATTGCAAACTAGATATAAACATTGCTTAGGGTTCCTCCAACTCCTAACATATATTACCATGGACTGTACAAAGGCGCCGCAAACAACAATGCCTATCGTAGTCATGTAATAGATCATGATGACTGGAGAAAAGGTATCTATAAGCTCGTGCGTGTTCCTGGAACAGACCGGAGTTCTGGAATTTCACTTTAGTTCAAAGAAGGAAGTTTTTAGATTTTTTTGTTTCCATCATGGATGCTTAAAATAAATTAAAATGAATGCTTCACTAACCTGACTATCTCTTGCTGCAGCCTGAACCACAGGATCAATTTGTCTCTGACTTGTTTGCTATCTTCATTGCTCAGTTCTTTTTGGAGTTCACTCATGGCTACCGAAAGATACTTCAAGAAGTCGCTCTGGATGCTGAAAAGTGTAACGAAAAGGCAGTCCATTGCCGCTTTCTTCGAAGTGGAGAAGGCGATGCTGCAAGCGATAATTAGCGCAATCAGTTCATAGACTCCTGGGACCTTGTCGTTGAAAGGGTTAGCGATTCTCAAAGGATGCCTGGAACGGTAATGCCCTTCCATCCAGTCCATCACCGGAACGGGGAAGCAGTATATGAACGGCAGGGTGAAGCTGAAGAATATGGAATTGTCTGTCAGGATGGCCATAACCTTGGAGGTCCTCTTGTATAACTGCAAGAAGTGATCAGCTCCTTTGAGGTCGCTCTTCAAGATCCTCTCAGTTAAATGGTCCATGTTGTCAGTGATTCTCTTCAGGTCGTGTCTATAGTTGGCTTGATAGAAAGTGACGAGCAAAGCACAAATGAAATTAGATGTGCTTACACCCAATCCGCACAGCTCCTGTTTTGATTTACATGTTTACGATTAGTGATTTGATCCAGTTATTGTTAGAAATTAACAAAAATTTATTTCGATAAAACTTACCTGAAATGGTATAGTAATGGTGGTTATAGAGTATCCATAACAACAAAGCATGTAGACAACGATGGCTACTAACAGGCTGTCGTAGAGGAGGAAGGGCACCCTGCCGAGGAGGGAGGGCTTCTCGATCCAGGGGTAGACAGGCCGACCCTTCTCAGCCCCTTCAGCAGGGATCTGCAACAGTATTTGTCCTGCCTTGTAGGGAAGGAAGGGAAACCAGTCGTCTATGTCAATTATATTGATTAAATTTTGGCCCTTGATCAAAATTATTGATTATGATAAATTCAATTTAGGAACATCAAATTAAATGGAAAACTGAAACTTGATGACTGTGAGAATCCGGGAAGCACATGTGTGAAATGAGGATCTGAATTCTCGCGCAACATGGTCGCCATGATAAAAGAAAAGAACAAAAAAAAAAACTATAATAATAATTGGATATTTAATAGTTGACCGTTGCATTATAAAGGAAGGAGATGGTCCGGTGTGGCGGTCATAAATAGGCTAAATAGTGGCAAAACAATTTAATTAAAAGCCAACGTTTTGACCCGAGTTTGCAGGTCTTCTTCAGAGCTAGAACGGACAAGATACCAAAAAATCTAGAATTGTGGAAGTTACATAAAATTTAGACAAAAAATTATATCAATGTAAATAAGCTTATTAAATTAAATTAGAAACAGTAAGTATATTAAATTATAAGCAGAGTAAGCTAAGTAATAAGATCCTAAACTGAACTAAATAGATCGTAACAATTGTTGTAGTGTAATTTATAATATATGCAAATGTGAATATACTTCTACAGATCTACAGGAGAGATTGAAAGAAAAAAAGGATATATTACGAAATAATAGACATAAAGGAATGTGGAGAAAGAAAAGAAAAAAGAAAACCAAAAAATAAATAAATAAGTAAATAAATTTCGAGACTTACAGGTGTGTTCAACTAGGAGTTTCACTTAGAACTGGAAAATTTGGGTAAGGGCAGCTATTGGGGAATTTTCTGAATTGTTTGGGTAATGAGGGAAAACCTAGAAAATTACAGTATCAGATGATGACTTATAATAGTTCATTAATTAATTAATTTTAGAATTGGTTTCAGTGTCAAATAGCATATAAAGCAAATGTAAGAATAAAATTATCTAACAACAATGCAAAGTAACAAACCACATATTAAAAGTATATTTTAAAAATACTTTATATAATTAAAATAACTAATTTATAATTGAACGAAAAATTAAATTAATTTTATCACATCAATCTAAATAATGAATTTATTAAACCTACTATAAGTTTAATATGTAAGTTTAATTTTAAAATAAACTCAAAATTTTTAAATGTCATTTTGTCAAAAAAATAATTATGACAAGTTGGTATACTATCTATTATCTATATATCTATAGGTATATATATAATATATATATATATATATATATATATATATATATATAAAATACGATGCTAGTCCATCGCTCAATCGCTCTAACAGCTGCGCTATTGCTACTTGTGGGGAACTAGTCCGCTAAGGTGGGCTCGATGGATCCTTTTTGCATACTCCTGACTACTACATTGAGGTTGCCGTCATGTACTTACCAGAGTGGAAGTGTCAAGATCCATTTTCCTGAGACCACCGAGAAATTAAAATTATCAGGCAAAGATGGGAATAGAACACACAACGTTCAGAAAGGGGCGCTCTGGGATCCAACTAAGCTATCACGTCTTCAATAAATTTGCTAAGTTATAAAAGCGTATAAAACAGTATTATTTGGTGGTAAAAATATATTTATTTAATTCCTAATAAACATTATTTAAAGAAAACTTAAGCTTTAGTAGAATTTTTTGCCTTAAGATACAGCAGATAGTCAATTTATATTACTATTCTATAAATGATGTTTGCTGCAAAAATTAAAAGATTTTTTTTTATGTATTCATGACATTTATTACTGTATTAAAAATAAAAAAATCAATTAGTAAATGTAAACACAGGAATATAATAACATGAAAACACTTGTTGAGAAACAATTCCCATATAATACTACGAAAATGGATTTACAATAAGAGATCTCGAAGCCATCTTCTTTTCAAACGCCTCGGAGGAGGTTATCAGGGATCGAAGAGGAAGCAAGGCTAGAAACAAGAGGATTCGGATGATTCTAAGCTTAAAAATATATCAAACAATATTCAAAGTGTACAACTGAAAGGGTACAACAACCGATGAATGGTCTTGGATTTAATATTTGATATCAATGCTGTGCTTCAAGACCAACTGTACCAGGATGTGTTGTATCACATTCCACGATCCCAATCCCTCCCCCTAACTTTTTTTTGTAATAGGTAAGGTGCCCGCTTTATAAAAACTATAATAATATTGAAGAAATTTGCTGCCGGAGCCGGGCTTAAACTTGAGGCTTAACTATTTTTTACTTAATGGCTGAATAAAATACTAATTTTCTGCAGAATTTTTTTTGCAGTTGACTGTTTGAAAATACTTGAATTATGTGATTTAAATATCTTTATTTTTGGTGTCCTTTTCATTGTGTTGGGTCCCCAAGTACAAAAGAAAAAAAACTGCATTAATTACTGTGAATACAGAACCAGATTCAAGAGCTGTCAATTGCCGGTATAATATTCGATTATAATCATAGATTATTTAATGAACCCTAACATGAACGAAGATTATTTCAAACAAATCCTTTATAACTGAAGGAAGAGATAGCTCGGTGGGTGAAGTTGTTGAAGTACTTACAGGTTAAAATCCTGCTTTGGGCCGCTTAATAGAAATATCATTTTACAATAATAGTGGAATGGGAATAGCATTTGTACATCTCTAGCGAAATTCAGCGTCAGAATTGCCAATAGCGAGAATCAGAATCATCTATCAGTGTCTGCTTTCTATACTCTTTAATGACTACTTTGGGACTTATTTAATTTATTATTTCAATTTTAGTATTACTGTTAATTAACCATTAAACATAGCATTAATGTTGATACACCAGAATCTAGAAAACTTATTCCAACATGATGTAATAGACAAGGACACAAACCAAACCATCCTTCTTTTTTTCACTAAACCTACAAAAAATAATATTTTTTCGTTAAGAAAGTTCCGATTTCCACTGATTCTGGTTTGACATTTTGAAACTTCGGAATAATCGACACAAGTATCCACATTTAGATAAATTTGAACTGCCTGTCTACCTGTAGTGATCGACGAACTTTGGAGTGTCCATGCTGTAGTGATCTGTGCCGTAATAGCTTAGATGAGGGCAATTATTGACTATGATATAGTGAATCTTTAATTCAAGTATTCCGCCCAAATTGTAGGCTTCGCCTTCGTAGAACATTCATTATGTCCTGCCACGCCTGGCTCCTGTTAAATTCAATTGTCCTCCTCAATAATGGATTGCCATAACTGGTTAATTAGGAACCTCATTGGCTAGCAGTCGGCCAATCAGATCGCTTATCCTAGAATTGGTCTTAATTGATCTATTTTCGCTGTCTCCGGAATGAGCCGCATTAATATAACGTTGGTGAGTTACAATGTAAGTTGGATTTTCACCTACTTTGGCCAATATTCAGTAATTTTCTTAGAGAAGGACACAATACACAGATAAAAGGACCGTAAGAAATGATATTTAGAAAATCTTTTGTAACCATTTCCTCAAATTCCTTTGATTTGCTTACCAGTAATTAAAATTTGAAAATTTCATGTTTTAGTTCCATTATTCCCAAGATAAACTGTGAATTTAGCTTCATTGAAGGATCTTCATCACCAAAGAAAGACCTGTAGAAACAAACGTTCTTTCCACATAATTCAAATGTAAACATACTTCTATAATGGTGCTATTATTATTATTTTTTAAATAAGGCCACCATCCTTCCTTTTTTTCACTAAACCTACAAAAAATAATATTTTTTCGTTAAGAAAGTTCCGATTTCCACTGATTCTGGTTTGACATTTTGAAACTTCGGAATAATCGACACAAGTATCCACATTTAGATAAATTTGAACTGCCTGTCTACCTGTAGTGATCGACGAACTTTGGAGTGTCCATGCTGTAGTGATCTGTGCCGTAATAGCTTAGATGAGGGCAATTATTGACTATGATATAGTGAATCTTTAATTCAAGTATTCCGCCCAAATTGTAGGCTTCGCCTTCGTAGAACATTCATTATGTCCTGCCACGCCTGGCTCCTGTTAAATTCAATTGTCCTCCTCAATAATGGATTGCCATAACTGGTTAATTAGGAACCTCATTGGCTAGCAGTCGGCCAATCAGATCGCTTATCCTAGAATTGGTCTTAATTGATCTATTTTCGCTGTCTCCGGAATGAGCCGCATTAATATAACGTTGGTGAGTTACAATGTAAGTTGGATTTTCACCTACTTTGGCCAATATTCAGTAATTTTCTTAGAGAAGGACACAATACACAGATAAAAGGACCGTAAGAAATGATATTTAGAAAATCTTTTGTAACCATTTCCTCAAATTCCTTTGATTTGCTTACCAGTAATTAAAATTTGAAAATTTCATGTTTTAGTTCCATTATTCCCAAGATAAACTGTGAATTTAGCTTCATTGAAGGATCTTCATCACCAAAGAAAGACCTGTAGAAACAAACGTTCTTTCCACATAATTCAAATGTAAACATACTTCTATAATGGTGCTATTATTATTATTTTTTAAATAAGGCCACATATGTAACCCTTAGCTATCCCCAATCCTTAAAATGCCCTCGGGTAGTGGAAGGAATTTATTGCATGTATATATTGTATTATTGTATACTACATATGTAATTGTTTCAATAAACATTTTGGAGGGTAAGAAAAAAAAAAAAAATTTTTTTTAAATAAGACCTTAACTTTGACTGTAAATTCTAAAAAATAAATTATTAAATATTACCAGAAAAAAACATACATTTCCTGTTTATGTACCGTAAAATGCAAGTTAAATAATGTAAAATATATGTCAAATGAAAATCTGGTCCTCACAATATTTAGGAGTGGAGTGATAAAGGCACATTTTGGAAGTCAAAAATCTTTTATAACAAGTCAAAAATTTCCAAATAATGCGTCTTATCAACATAATAACGTAGAATAATTCTATTAATTTTGTCTGGACTGATTAGTAAAATAGTTACAGGAGGCGAACGAAAACTATATTTGTATAAATGGACACAATTATATACATTGTAGATGTATATGTTTAGATTTGCTACTGGAATTCTTGTATAAATCAAACTTATTGCTTTCAATATCTAGTTGTACATAAAAAAAGTTCAATAACAATAAAGAAATTAGTTTATATTCGTTGGTAGCTACCAACTTGATACAGTTAATCGTTAAAAAATGATTCACTTTTCCTGCTTTATCTACTTACTTCAGATTATAAAAAGATCCGAAATTATAAATTGAAAATTTTATAATCCCTGCAATCAACTAAGCAAACGGTTTGTTATATTTATTACTTCATATAGTTAAACTTTTCGGATATATCACACAAAGAATTCATCAGTCCACTGTGGAATCATTAAGTCAAATTTTGTAATAACGTACTAACACAAACTGATTGGTAAATACTTTAGTCAAGTATCGGAGCTGGTAGAAGAAATCTCGATTTATTAATGTTAAGTCAAAGAAGAAATTTTTATTATGAAAATAAGCGACAGCTGAAATGCTCTGTTGAATCTAATATGAAATTACTGATTTTTAACGGATGAAATCATCAACTAATATTGATCTATTTTTGTAGTAAATATCTTACAACCAGTTAAAGGATCAAACTTAAAAAAATGTTGTGTTTTTTATTATTACCAACGACTTTCTAAGTAGAAGTTCCCAGGATGTTGCTTCTAACATATGTTTCTGAAAGATCACTCATTGGTTTCTTTCTTTTCCAAGCCCTTGGAACAAACTTTATTTGCTTTCATTAAAAAAAAAAAAATCATATCTCAAATTTTCCAAAATATGTGCTGGAACCTTTTGGAATTCTTCACCCATCTCGAGCTAAGAAATTAATAAATTTGCTGTTACACAGTGGTAAGAAATGCATATTTAGCGCAACAAATTTTTTGAAGTTCTCATTTATTTCTTATCATGTGAGCTCCGCATAAATTTAAGTGAATCTATAGTGTAAGAAATATTAATTATTACTATAGCCTCGGTTCACTATCACTTAATGAATAATTGAATAAACAGAGTCAATTAATGATAATATACAGACAGCATACTGAAAGCCATAGAAAAAATGCAGACAATTATATGATTGCATGTTATTTATTATTTTATGGGAAGTTTTATAATGTTCATAGGTATTTGGCATATGATATATGATTTTATTTTGTTATTTTTTTCTTCCTAATACAATAATAATATTGGTAAAAAAAACTAGAAGTGTAAGATAATTCAAACAAATAATTTTTTTCTATCCTATTTGAGATTAAAAAAAATAGAATTTAGGATTATTTTTTTTTGGAAGGACTTTTTAATTTTTTTTTAAATAACGGTAATTACAAAAAAAAACTATATGGAATTATGTTTAAGTGATCATCGAAAGCGAAAAATAAAATAAAATGAAACAATAATACTTTTGTTGATCAATTTATTATATTTTTCT